CGTGGGAACACAACATTCAGTTAACTGCATGGAACCAGATGCAGTTCATGTGATGGCTTTGAAGTTTCTTTCTTGCCTCATCTCCTTCTCTGATCTGTTATGTCCATAACATTATGTGGTGCATAAATGAAGATCTTCTTGTCTGTCAGGGAAGTCATCAGTAGTCAATTTGTGCAGGAGATTGGCCCAAGTGGGTTGGCAGGTCATATCAAATATAAACAGAATTTATAATACAGTTTAGTACAGTGACATGGGAATGGCAGAATTTTGAAAATCTTAATTCCTTCTTATATTGTGGATAATATCTTGTAAATGTAGGAATAGTATTAGAGATTATAAGTGAGTGCAGCATTATTTTACCTGTGCAGAATAGGGAAACCACAGAAAGTCCAGTCCTAGATGTTACAAGATTAGACATCAGGTGTCTGGTTATGACACGTTGGAACAAGCTGCCCCTGCACCTGAGCTGCTTGCTGTGAAGAAATAGTTACACCCATTTAGATGTCTGCACTATATGCTCATGAGAAACCACAATATCAGTATCCCATATTGCTTAGTTGTGATAGAATGGTTGCTGAATAATGAATGGTAAAGGATGTGCAAGGCTATGTACATAAGAAATACATTTCTATATCTTAATGCCCCTGCTGCTGTTTTCAGGATTTCTGAGTACAGGAGATGCTGATTCACCTGGAAACTATGGCATACTGGACCAAGCAATGGCTCTGCAGTGGGTGTATGACAATGTTGATGCATTTAATGGAGACCGAGAGAAGATCACTCTGTTTGGACCTGGTGCAGGTGCCGCATCTGCTGGGCTATTGATGGTCGCTCCGCGCTCAAGGGACTATGTTAGCAAGGTCATTGGCCAGGTGAGCTTAGCAGATATTTTTATTTGTGGTAGCTTCAGAAAGTTGGGGACAGATGCAAATATTCAATTCAATTCATTTATTTAAGTGTTTGCCAACAGCAAGAAGCCAATAACAGGCAAACACTGATAATGCATACAATAATAATAAAATAATAATGAACAATATTACACAAAAAGAGTAACTAAACAAATACATGTACAATATTAAATATAACAGCCAAATACATGCAAACACAAAATAGAAACAATACTGTACACAAAGAAAAATAAATGAAAAATGTCTTGGTCCTAGTGATACAGGAACAGTGTGATGACCACATTAGGATTCAAAGATTTCTGACAGCCTCAAATGTTTACTCTGTTGCCATGCATGCCATTTTTAACGTATACGGAAATTTGTAGGTGCGTTCATATTTTATTATCATACCAAATTTCAGTTGCCAAACTACCACAGCTCATACACTGCTGCTGTTCCAAATACCTGTCATTCACCTCAGTTGAAAGTTCACACAGCTGCCATATTATTAATGTTGATAATATGCAATTAAACACATATTGTTGGTGTGAGCGTATGAAACAAAGCAAGAAGGCTCAAGACTGAACACTGAATTCAGGAAGTGATCACTGTTTTTAATTTTAAACAAAATGTCACTTCTGTCCTCATTACAGAGTGGGTCTGCAGTGGCTGACTGGGCTCTTATAGTGGACAGGTACCGGGCACAGAACACAAGTCGAGTGTTTGCACAGCATCTTGGTTGTAGTTTTGACTCGTCATGGAAACTAGTCAATTGTTTGAAGCAAGGGAGGAGCTTTGTTGAAATATCCAATGCTGAGTTCAAGGTATTACTTCTCAACAGTACATTTTAAGTAAGAGACACAGTCATATAGCCTAGATGGCATCACAGAATTTTTATCAGACAGATTTATTGAAAATGGTCCAGTGAAGACCTGCAGGATGCACTCTTTTCTCATGAAGGTGAATTAAAGATCAAAACAACAGTAAGTTCTTCACCCAAAAGTGATGCTGTTGTGGTGAAATGCATTGTGGACCTTTAAAGAGAGGGTGGTTAAGATATGATTATTCATGTTTGTAATGAGTGAAGTTACATGTGTGATCTTACCAGTGTGATATGATGGTAAAATATGTAGTTTTGTTGTAATTTCAGCCACAAGTGGGTATCTTCCCATGGGGTCCAGTCTTGGACAGAAATTTTACTGTACCACAAGATCACTGGTTTGAAGGCTGGCGTGAAAAGGACTGGCATTTTCTGCGGGAAACCCCAGAGGAACTTATTTGTCGTGGACAGATCAACCATGGTGTCAGTTACATGAGTGGAGTCACTACACAGGAAGCTAGTTTCTTCATATGTGAGTGTAACATGCAGTTGCTGAATGTGAAGTGTAGCAATGAAAATTCATTCACTGTACATTCAAATCATGTACAAACAAAGTGTGTCGCCCTCGGTGGACTAGTGGTTAGCGTGCTCGCCACTGAACCCAAGGTTCGCAGGTTCAAACCTGGCCGAGGTCGATGGATTTTTAAGGTTAATAAAAATCTGTACCACGACTTTCTTCAAAGGGGAAGTAAAGCCGGCGGTCCCATGTCATAGATTTATGGCATGTGAAAGAACCTTACGAGCATGAACAAGATGTTTCGTAAGCAAAATTCAGTGACCATTTCTCTCTCCTGATTTGCTGCTAGATGGCTCTGGCAGTCAAATCAGGATTGAGTAGAAATTGTGCAGAGGCAGTCGGCTGGCCACCCACTACTCACAAATGCACACTTCAAAGACTAGGAAACCTCCGAAAAGGAAGTGGTGACGACCCACAACTGGTTTGTAGAGCGAAGGAAGAAGAAAGAGACAAACAAAGTGTGTTTGTGCACTAGGCTGCAATGGTTGATGTATCTTGAAAGATTGCATCAAGTAAAATCACTTGGTTCAAACTGAAATAACATTTACTTAAACCCCCTTTAACTTCTTAGACACAAATTCCATACTTTTAAGAACTTCTAATATGGATGTATGAACTTCTGTTTTAGAAGCTGTCAGATAGTGGATTAATTTCAAATCAGAGCCTGGGCTATAAAGTGGAATTCCTTCATTGCTGGATAGCTCATCAATCACCAAAGTTTGTTGGGAGTCTGATGTATTGTTTTCTCCCACAAAAATTTCATTGGCATGGCCAATCTCCATGAAGAAATGTAATTTTCAGAATGCCCCTGGAAGTGGTTAAAGCCCACTGTATATATAATCAAAATTATCTTATGAAGTATTATGTGTCTTGTAAAATGACACATGCAATACTCAGTTTATATCATATGCATTTTTATCATTATTTATTTAAAATTGGTGATTCTTTTTTTATTAGTGAATCTAATGTCATGAAATTTCCACAGAGCTTTCTGCACATAACTTAAACCAAAACAGAGTTAACATTACAGAGAACTTTTTGGTTGGAGTTGCTATGGAAATAAATTTGATTTCTGAATGAATGGGTGTAATTCTCAGTTCCTGGATTGTGTACAGATTTTTATAAAATCTGTCCTTTAAATAGCTCCACAGAAAGAGTCCCAAGAACTTATGTCCTGTAGGTATGGTGACCATGACAATCCTTCCTGAAAGACCACATTGTATCAGTTAAGAGGACTATATCTTCAAAACTCAAAAACCAAAGTATGGCATTGCTAATGTGTGGTCTCAAAATAGGATTAATTAAGTTAACATATTCCTGCAGAAAAGGAACAAATTCATTCTGTAGGTAAAACTGAAGTGACTGTTTCAATGCACTGTAACTGTCTGAGTGCAGAATTCAGCATCCCTTCCAGAAACTGTACCTAAGTTTCCAGGCAGTTTCACCATTTGTTTGCTCTGATTTTATGAGCTTCATATTTTGGTTTAAGTAACCGTTTTTAGAAATGTTTGTGTTATTTTATTCATTAATGAAAGTATAATTAATTTTAAAATTTCAGATGATAAACAAAATCACCCTTTATTTGTCCATTAAAAATGTTGAGTTGGTTAAAAAAAGAAGAAGGAAGTATGCCACTGAAGTTGTACATAGATCTAATTTTGCCTAATTTCTTCTTCCCAGATGAAAATGAGACATTAGCTCCAGACTACACAGTTACTAGTGAGTTTGTTGACCAGAAGATTCGAGAGCTGGTTTTGCGCTACAACTACACACTCAATCCAGAAGGCATCTATCAGGCCATAAAGTACATGTATACATACTGGCCTGATCCTAATAACACATATTATATTCGAGAAAAATACATAGATGTAAGTGTTCTTGTAAACAGATTGTGAAATACAGATTGGCAGTTTGTTTTTGGTAATACTCAAACAAAAGGAATGTGAAATGAAACCAGAACTACTGCCAGCTTTGCTAATGAAAAATCTGAAATTGGAAAGAACGTGTTGAAGAAATTAGCTGTAATAGAATCTGAGTTTCTTTATGTTACGTTATGTCTGTCTATTAGTATGTTTCATGTCAGAAACCACCGGACATACTCCTTGATATCCTGTGCCTGAAATGACTAATGCATGTAACAAAATGTAAAATAAAAATAACATATAAATATAACAAAAACACCTCAATCTCTGGGCGAAGTTTCTGAACCTAAGGCCCTGTGAATGCTAAATAGAAGTGCTAACCACTCTAGCACCATACTTGGTGAAATAATATTTTATGTAGTTATTAACATGTAAACATTAGTAAAATGAACATCAAAGTAAGTGAAGAAGGTACACCTCTCCACTTTTGTTGCTTCTTTCTTATAAGCACTGAAGGAATATTCCATTAAAGTATGTATTTAAATTCTGTTTTGATATCTCTTCACAGATGCTGTCAGATTTTCTGTACCGAGCCCCTAGTGACAAGATGGCCAAGTTACTGGTTGAGCAGAATGTTCCTGTTTACTTGTATGTCCTGAACACAACAATTGAGGCATTTAGATTGCCTCTGTGGAGGAAAGTTTCACATGATACGGAGCACTACCTCCTGACTGGTGCTCCATTCATGGATGTGGGTAAGTGTCAGGTGAAGGTGGCTCTAGTGCTGCAAACTTAAAAGCTGTTAAAGTAGGGACACTTCATGTTTGTTTCCCTTTGTACGCATCACAACCCATTGTAGTATTTATGGCAGTCGGCAGTCAGCATATGGGACCGAAAGTTGGGCAGTTCCCACATCAGAGGTATTCATATTTGTATATGGTTTGGTAATCCACTGCCCTCCTTAACCCCTTAAGAGCTTACAGTCATGTGCAGTTTTTTCTTGTTTTTATATTTGGAATGTAGCAGTACTGCTGAAAACTATGTATCATCCACAGGAAACTTTTGTTTGGAGTAATAGAATGTGGTTTGGATATTCATGAGTTATATAAAAAACCCTTATAATAGAATGTGGTTTGGATATTCATGAGGTATATAAAAACCCTTATGACATTCCACAACTTGTCATTATCTATATTTGTCCTGTCAGCTGGATTTTTTTGTAATTTTCTCTATAGCATTGAACAAGGATATTTATGATCGATGTATTGGAAAGCATGTGGAAGGAAGTGGACATGGCCTGTTTTATAGCGCTGTCCAGTGTGTACCTGGAATGACTAAGGAACACAATGAAAACTCTTAGTCAAGATATCAGCCCTTCAGGTTCAGATTTTAACATAAGACCTCCAGAATATGAAGCAGGAGACAGTAAAAATATTTTGGAAAGTTTGTCTTTAAACATAGTTGACAAATGGTCAAGAACCTCATTCAGTGTGACATGAGGAACATAGTATGATTTAATGCTCTATCACACTATTGAATTACTGTATTTATGTAGGATTTGAAGTTTTTATGCTTTTACTTCATTTGTTGCAAGAATGTTCATAGCAGAATTAGGGCAGCAGTTAAGAGAGTAGAATTTGTTAGTGACAGGTTGTCTTACGTAATTTTGGAAGGACGTTGGTGCGACATCATTGCCCTTAATGTTCATGCCCCAACTGAGGACATAAGTGATGATACCACGGATTGCTTTTATGAAGAAGTAGAATCAGTATGCAATTGCATAAGAGCAAACTCGCATATGCAAAAGTTTGCATTTCACAAACAGCTTTTACCGATTCATCGATCTCATTGGAGCAAATTCGCGTTAACAGAACATACGTAATTGCAGAGATGACTGTATTTTTATTCAAAATCAGCGATGTAAGAATTACGATTTAGTATAAGAATCAGTACGAGATACATTGTAAAACGTTATAAATAATAGTAAAATATATTTTTTCCACTTTTTGACTTGCTGGTTTCAAAATCGGAGTTATTCTGAATCGGCGCAAATCGAGGGCTACCTGTAATGAAAGTGTGAAAATGTCAGAGACTCTATCAGAATTTCAGCCAAAGGAAAACTAGGATATTACAGGAGAAAGAAAAATAAACCATGGTTTGTTGAAGAATGTTCAAAATTAATAGATTAAATGAAGTAAACAAGATTTCAATGGTTGCAGGACCAAAACAAAATGAATATGGATAATCCATGTAACATGAGACATGAAGCTAGTAGATGCTTTAGGTATGAGAAAAGGGAATATGTGAAAGGCAAAATTATTGCGCTTGAGACAAATAGTTAGGACAAAAATGTTAGAGATCTGTACAGAGGCATAAACGATTTTAAGAAAAGATATCAACCTACCAGAGTAATTTGGTAAAGGATGATAATGGCAATTTACTTGCCGATCCAATCAAAATTTTGATTAGGTGGCATTTCTTTAACCAGCTCTTAAATGTTCAAGGGACTAATGATGATATATTGAAATACACATGGCTAAACTGTTAGTACTAGAACCTAGTTTAGATAAAGTTGAACTAGCCTTTGAAAAGTTATAAATCTCACGTATTGATCAGATTCCAGCAGAATTAATTGAAGTAGTTGGCAAAAGGTTGCATATGAAGATCCATAAGCTTATTCACTAAATTTGGGATAAGGAAGATATGGCACAAAAATGGAAGGAATCCATAATTATTCCTATTCATAAGAAGGGAGACAAGACTGAGTGTGGTCATTACTGAGGAATTTCTCTGCCATCAACCTTATATAAAATTCTATCAAACATTAATATGGTGAGATCAACTCCATAAGTGAATCAAAAGATCAACAATTGATCAGATCTTCTGCAGTTTTCAAATACTAGAGAGAAAAAAATGGGAGTACATCAATTGTTTATAGATTTCAAAAAAGTCTGTGACTCTGTTGAGAGAGAAGTGCTATACAATATTCTCATTGAATTTGGTATACCAAAGAAGCTAGTGAGCCTAATAAAAATGTGCTTAAATGAAACCTGTAGCAAAATTCGTATAGGTAATTATTTATCTGACTCATTTTCCATCAAGAACGGTCTAAAACAAGGAGATGCTTTGTCTCTATTGCTCTTTAACTTTCCTCTAGAATACACTATCAGGAAAGTCCAAAACTAATATCAGTGCCTCTGCCGGAAATCGAACACCGGTCTTCCAGTCGCCACTTTGCTGGTTGAGGAATTACAGCTTATGGACTTTTGCGTTGTTACAGATTTACAGAAATACAGAAACGTAATTTGATAAATTGACCAATGGTAGCTTCCGATTCTTATTCGACAGTTAGTGAGTTCATGTCTCTAACCACGCAGACCGTCTACCTTGACGATTACGCGTGGTTTTTTTAGGTTTCTCAGTCTGTAACGGCCTTGTCGGGACAATGTTTTACATCAGGAGCAAAATTTGTATAGGTAAATATTTATCTGACTCATTTTCCATCAAGAATGGTCTGAAACAAGGCGATGCTTTGTCTCTATTGCTCTTTAACGTTGTGCCAGAATATGCCATTAGGAATGTCCAAGATAGGCAGGAGGAACATAGAAATTTTACTAGAAGCCAGCAGAAATTGTGGGACTAGAACTAAATTCAGAATAAACTAAATACTTTGAAAGTGTGATGAAGTTCAAATATTTGGTAACAACAATAACAAATCAAAATGATATTCAGGAGGAAATTAGGAGTAGACTAAATTCCAGAAATGCTTGCTACTTCTCAGTTCAAAATATTTTGTCTTCCTGTTTGATTTATAAGAACCTAAAGATGCAAAACAATAATTTTGCCTGTTGTTTTGTATGGGTGCAAAACATGGTCTCTCACTCTCAGGGTGGAACATAGCTGTTTTAGAATAGAGTATTAAATACAGTATATAACATCAGTAATGAAAAACAGTATACAGAGTGAAGTTTAACGTACAGTAAGATATAACATATGCAAAATGGGTCTGAAGTTCACCCACCCTCCTTAGATATAACATATGCAAAATGGGTCTGAGGTTCATCCACCCTCCTCTCCTGTAGGCACCAAAGACAGATTGTGAACTTCTTGACTGCCAACACCATCTATGTAGTTTGTTTTTATGGTTCTAAATGCAGGGTTAAGTTTACAGTTATCAAAAGTACATTAGTATTATAATTTAAAGTATTTCATGTTACTTGCTTACAGAATTCTTTCCAACAAGGCCTAAACTGGACCGGAAAATGTGGACAGACAATGATCGGAACATGAGCCACTTTTTTATGAAAGCGTACACTGATTTTGCCAGATTTGGGTATGTATGAAATTTGGTTGTTCTTAGTCTTGTTTCATATTGTGTATTCATAGTAAGTTTTTACCATTTCACCAGTTTTGTTACTATCATGTTATTGGAGGCCAACCCATTTCCATAACTCCTACTTCATCTGCTTCCCAACCCTAATTAGGCAAAATTTTGCTCCACATATTACCATATTTTTTTTAATACTCTGTGCACAATCCATGAAATGGAGTAGAATCAGTCAGTCCTTAAAGATGGCTGTCTTCTGAAATGTTACAACAGAGCAAGAGAACCAGTGAGGAAGGGGGGACCACAGCCAAGCCAAAGGAAGGGGTAGGGGAGAGATAGAACCATGGAAGTAAGTTCGTGATCAGTAACTCAGCATCCTGAGGACCATATTCAATTGAATGTAATATGTTAGTTACTGTACAGCATGATAAATGTGCAAAATGTGTTTTTATAACTTTATTTACTGACCTTTTAATTTGGCTTGTAGAATTTCATGACAGCAGATCTAGTACTCCTTCATAGTTTAAGTTACTCACATATGGTCCGTATAATCCTGTATGTTACTGAATTAATGCTAGAATTTAATTGATGTATGTCCAGATTTCAGACACAGTAGCAATGAAAAAATAAAGTGTCATGAGTATTTTCCAGATATTGTTAGGAACGTAGACATGAAAGTAAAATATTTTGATCACAGTGGTAGCACAGTTTATAAGAATACTCAGTTTGTACACATTCCAAACTGAAATTAACATAATTTTTGGACTGGGTTTTGTATGTGTGCAGAAATGTAAACTGTGTACTTAATTCCACATTGTGACTTAGGAATCCAACACAAACTCAGATCCTGGGACTGCACTTTGAAATGGCTCGAGCAGGGTATCTCAAGTACTTGAACCTCAACACTACTTTTAACTCGAGTGTGCTGCTCAACTACAGGCAAACAGAGACTGCTTTCTGGAGCACATATCTCCCTACAGTGATTGGGCACTTGGTTCCGACCTACCCTCCAGTTACCGAGGTCAGTTGGGCTACCCACTCACCTTAGCTAAGTTGCTACCAGAAATCTAATCATTTAATATTCATCTGACTATGTGACTTAGTTTCCAGTGATGTTCAGAGTAGGTCACATTCCACTGGCAACACAGTGGGAGGTGGTGGTGATTATGAAATATAAAGAACCCATTTACTTGACAGTTGCCGACTGACATTTAATTCTATTGCTGAAGGGTATCTGTAATCCATTCAGATTCTGATTTGACTGAACAACATAAAGGTAAGTGAATCCGCATTTTATTGTGACCAGCCAGGCACGAGTGATGGGGTAAAGTGGCAAATTGTCGACAGAGAATCAGGATGGGTAGAGTGACCAGACATACAGAATTGATGTAAATAATGTATAAATTTGTCTACCAGTTCAGTTGTGTCATTAAAATCTGAAGACACATTGTTGAGAAACAATTTACCAGAAAGGTATGGGATTTAAACTATTGCGGTCTACTCACACATGCGGATTTAATTGCAATTTCAACTGTCTTATAGTGCTGCATGTTACAAAATACAGGGTGTGTAATGCATTTTTTAAGCTAGGAACTTGATATAAGAACTGTTATTGACAATGAACCCAGGCTACTTTACAGCCAGGCATATTATGTTTTTGTGTAAAACCATTATTTTCTGTAACTTTACAGTTTTAACTCCAGTACCATTGACAGGTGTCTCTACAGCCTGATCCATGGTTGTTATTGTTATTATATTTATTTTATTACATTTTATGTGCTATTCTTACTATGGCATGAGTGAAGACCACCTTATGGGCCCATCCATGTCTGTCAGTCATGTTTTTCCTATGAGCTAGGCAACCTGCATGACCAGGGGCCATTATATTGGGCACATTGTTGATTTACACTGTTGTGCTAATGAACTAATATTGTTGGGATACATTAAAATTCTGCCCTCAGATCACATAAGTGCAACAGTAACCAATTGTAACATTTGTTATAACTCTTGGTTGCCCTGTAGACAACATTGTCACATGATGTGGCAAGAAGCACACCTTTGGGCAATCAGTGTAGTGCAAAGAATATACCTTTCCAGTTTTACTAGTAAAATATCTGGTTGTATCTTGGCAGGTTGCTGAATCTTGTCCCATTTTGTGGCATGGCTGTTTAATCTTAATTGGTATACAGGCATAAATATCCTTAGAAGTTTTCAGTGTATGCAGTGATTCACAGGAACACAACCAACTAACTAACTAACTAGATGGCTTACTGAACCCGAAGGTTCATCACCGAATTAACCAAAGCCCTCCACCGGACCCTGTCCTGGGCCAACAAAATCCAGTCCCCTTCAACTACTGTCTCCCATAGATCCCGCCTGACATTATCCTCCCATCTACATCTAGGTCTCCCCAGCGGTCTCTTCCCTTCAGGTTTCCCAACCAGTACCCGGTGCACACCTCTTGTCCTATCCATGTGTGCTACATGCCCAGCCCATCGCATTCTTCTTGACTTAATCACCCTGACAATACTGGGGGAGGAGTACAGATTTTTAAGCTCATCATTATGCAGTTATCTCCACACTCCATCGTCTTCCCTCTTAGGCCCAAATATCCTCCTCAACACCCTGTTCTCAAACACCTGCAATCTGTGTTCCTCCCTCTGAGTGAGAGACCATGTTTCGCACCCATACAAAACAACAGGCAAGATTATTGTTTTGTATACTTTAATTTTCAGGTTCTTAGAAATCAGACGGGAAGACAAAATATTTTGGACTGAGAAGTAGCAAGCATTTCCGGAATTTAGTCTCCTCATAGAATGTTTACTAAACAAATATTCTAAAATTTTCCCCGCAGGGAAATGTATCTAAATTAAAAATTATTTTTTCTGGTTTATCAGCAGGGACGACATAATCTTTGAGACCGTTTATACAAGTAATGCAATGAGGTAGGTGAAAATGTTGTTGTTTTCTGGGCTGTGAAACCATGTGGTCTCCTTCTGTAGGAATATTGGTAGCCACCTACAGTACTACACGGCGTCACAATCCAAAAGACCATAATACCTTAGTTAATATAATGATATGTACAACTTATTTTAAAGTCAATTTTTGACGCACGCTTCGTAATACCCACACCAATGGCTTCATTAATACTAGCTTCTTTGGTATACCAAATTCAATAAGAATATTATATAGCACTTCTCTCTTCACAGAGTCATAGGCTTTTTTGAAATCTATAAATAACTGATGTACGGTCCCACCGAACTCCCATTTTTTCTCTAGTATCTGACGAATGCAAAAGATCTGATCAATCGTTGATCTGTTTCGTCTGAACCCACACTGATGATCCCCAATAATTTCATTCGCATATGGGGTTAATCTTGCCAAAAGAATGTTTGATAGAATTTTGTATGAGGTTGATAGCAGCGAAATTCCTCGGTAATTACCACACTCAGTCTTGTCCCCCTTCTTATGAATAGGAATAATTATGGATTCCTTCCATTGTTGTGGCATCTCTTCCTTATCCCAATTTAACTGAATATTCAACCCTTTGCCATGTGCTTTAATTAATTTTGCTGGAATCTGCTTAACACCTGGAGATTTATAACTTTTCAACTTCCCAATGGCTAGTTCAACTTCATGTAAACTAGGTTCTGGCACTACCAGTTCAGTTGTATGTATTTTAATCTGTCTAACATCATCAGTCTCATGAACATTTAAGAGCTGGCTAAAGAAATTTTTCCACCTATTCACAATTTGTATTGAATCTGCAACCAAATTGCCTTATGTCCTTTACCAAATTAGTCTCAGGTTGATATCCATTCGTAAAGTTATTAATGCCTCTGTACAGGTCTCTGATATCTTTTTCCTTATTATTTGTCACAAGTTCAACAATTCTGCCCTTCAGCTCTTCCAATTTCTTATTCCTAAAGGATCTACTAAGTTCACGTCTCACGTTGCATAGAGTATACACATTTGTTTTGTTTGGGTTCTGCAACCATTGAAATTTTGTTTGCTTCCTTCGATCGATTAATTTTGAACACTTCATCAAACCATGGTTCTTTTTCTTTTCTTTCTCCTGTAGTATCCTAGTTTTGGCTGAAATTTTGATGCAGTTACTGACATTTTCCCACTCCCTGTTGATGTCCACACTTTCATTATCTTCATCCGTCTCTAAAATTTGGAACCTATTCGAAATTTCAACTTGATATTGTTCTTTTTCCTCTCCCTCACTTAATTATTTCAAATCAAATCTTTCTGTGTCAAAAGTTTGCTTAGTTCTTCTTACTGAAAACCTCTCCCTCACTTTTGCTACCACCAGATAATGACCAGTGTCACAATCTGCTCCTCTGAATGACCTCACATCAATTATATTTGTCTGCCTTCTCTTATCTACTAACACATGATCTATTTGATTGTGTGTGCTTCCATCTGGAGAAGTCCAAGTGTATTTATGAATATCACGGTGTGGAAATTTTGTACTTTTTACAATTTAATCTTTTGACGTAGCGAAGGTTACTGCTCTAACACC